TATCTCCTTTAATAAAGCCCAAGCTCCATGAGGGTAAGGACTTTATCTATCTAGTTAACTACGATATTCTCAATGCCTAAAACAGTGAATCATATTGAATGAATGAATGAATGAATGAATGAACAGCACAGAATGCACACAAATATTCAGTTACTTAACATTTCCAGGAGTTTCAATTCCAGGTTAAAAGGGAATTAATTGAACATCATCTATAAGCTATGCTTGATTTCCAATATAAGCAACACAACTTTAAATTCTGAAGGTGAAAAGTATGCAATTGGATCCAGATTCTTTTCCATTTGACTAGAGACTCCACTAATAAATTCCCATATAGACCTAGTAAGTCTTTACCCTGCATTTACTCCTTCGGAAGAATTTCAAATCAGCAGAGAAGGCAAATTAATGAAAAGTGTTGACATAGCTGACTAGCCATTTAGGTAAAAAAGCTGAATTCCTATTTTACCTCCTCCTCAAAATAAATTCCAGATTAATCAAAGGTTTAAATAATAAAAAATAAAACCATAAAAGTACTAGAAAAGCTTTAATGAAACCATATTTTATAGGTGAGGAAGACATTTCTGAGCATGAGCCATAAGAATCATAAAAGACAAATTTTAAAGCTTCTACAGAGCAGATGATACCATAAACATAGGTGGAAGACAGACAACAAACTGGAAAAACACTGTTCCCTATATAACAAAGAGTCAGTATCCGTAATAAGTAAATAATTCCTAAAATTAGTCAGAAAGAGACAAACAAAAAAAGGAGGAGTTTGATGGGGGGACTTACATAATACTCAGGAAATTTACAAAGACAGCAAAATAGATGGACAGCAAAATAAACTAGAAATATTTGCCTATTAGATTTATTGATATTTTTTGTCTATCTCATTCAAAGCATCAGTAAAAATTCATGGGAAAACAGGAACTCTCATATACTCTTTGTAGGGATGTAAACTGGCACAACCCTTCTGAAGGATAATCTGACAAGAGAAATCATAATTTCATAGTCAACATCTATGAACTTTTTAAATTGATTTATATATATAACATGAGCTATATATATCACGATCCCATATGTGTTGGAAAAAAATTATGTTTAGCTAATCCTTTAAGTGATCTGGTATGATAGACCCCAAAATGTTAATAGTGGAGAGTCAAGATTTTTATTTTTTAAATAAAAAATTTTTGAAATATCTGAGATTCCACAAAAAGTACTTTCAACATAAAAAAAATTTAACATTTATTAATAGTGAGCATGAAAAAAAGTAAGATAAATAAAATGATTCCTTCAAAGGTCACTCATCTTCTGGATCTGAGCTGTCCAATAAAATAGTGTAGTAAGACTACCAAGCACTTGATACTTGCCTGTTCTAATTGAGAGATGCTGTAAGTATAAAATACACACCAGATTTGGAAGACTTAATATGAAAAAAGAATATAAAATATCTAATTAATATTTTTATATTGACCACATGTTGAAAAGATAACTTTTGATATATTGCATTAAATAAAATATACTATTAAAATTAATTTCACTTGTTTCTTTTTAGTTTTTTTACATGTATAGCTCACACTATATTTCCATTGGACAGTGCTGTTCTGGACAGGAGAGGAAAGGGGCGCTAATGTAGTACTCTGGCATTATTCTTTAGTTAATATAAACATTTCTATTTATAAATGTGTTTTTCTCAGTTACTTTCAGAATCTTTCTACCAAACATATGAATTCAAAAACAAACCATCACAGTAAAAAGGAAAACATTAAAGGGCATACTATATTCAAAAGAGCCAAAATGCCCTGTGTTTTATTTGGAAGTCGTTATCTCCCTAAGATTGCACAACCTAGGGGAGGATAAAGGACTTTGCTTTGCTTGGAATTTAAACAAATCTCCTAAATGTCCTACAATTCTATGTAGCCAAGAAGTTTTGTATATTAGTTCTTAGAAACTAGGAATGCTTAGATTAGAGCCTAATTTTGCTGAGTTTCTTGTTTTCTTCCACATAAAAATTTTTAATTTTTATAACATTACTGGCTATATTTGATCAGGGTTCTATTTAAATAGGCACAGGTTCAAGCAAAGGTTAGATTCTGCCTTTAACAATGTGTACTCAGACAGGAGGCATTAAAAGTAGATGTAGAATCATTTATAAAATTACTATTTTCATTACATTTTCCCACAGCTTGACACTCTTCTGCAGCTTGTAATTAGGCAAATTGTTGACTTTCATTATATTGACTAACATGTCAAACTACTATAAGAAAAAAAAATTACCCAGATATTTCTTCCCAGAGAAAATATACTATAAACCAAGAATACGTGACCATTGCCTGTAATCTATCTGTTAGTGTTACACGTGAGGCATTGTATAAGTTGTGCAAAAAGTGTCATAGTCTAGTATAGTAACCAAAATGGAAGGAAATTCCAACAAACAGCCTCTCTTTGGTATTAGTGTCCAGTTACTTTTACACATGGAAGGGGCTACTTTTCATAGTCCTTTCTCTAAAAAGAACCTCCAATATCAAAAAGGGGTGAGCATCTACTATATGCAAATTTTGTGCTTGGAAAACTCTCATGTTATGACTTTATCATTCTCTCACTCATTCAACAAATATTTATTGTTTCTCCAACATGTAAAGAATTTATATCCCTGTATGGGATATAAATTAAACACAGATATAGGTCTTGCCAATAAACAGCTTATAGTACAATAGAGAAGAGAAGTTGGCCCATCTCAATTCCCCCTCAACCAGAAAGTAGATGAAATATCAGGGTCAATAGTTTTAAGCCAGAAAAGCAGACAGTTTAGTTAAGAGAAGTTTTGAAATATGCCCTTCATGACCAATGATCACAACACTAACTTTTCCCTTTAAAAAAGAGGGAGAAAATTCAAATTTCTTCAGTAGTTCAACATACACTTTTATAATCTCATAACATGTACCTGTGGCAAGGGTAAGATGAAAATGAAGAATAAGGAAATTTTTTTGTTTTTCTTCTTCATTAGTGGAAGGATTTGTATTTGTATATTTTTATTTGCTTGCATTCTTACTTCTGTTACAAACAGAAATATTTATGTGGTTCTGTACTGGACATTTAGAAAAAGTATACACAGGCTAAACAAAGGACATAATTCCTGTACTTACGAAGGTCCAAGAAACCAAAACTCAGAAAACCAGATTCTAGGAAAGTTTCCTAACTTATGTCATCTTAACATGAGATTAGATGATATTCATCAGTAAAATATTACAGAATGGGCATAAATGCATTGATTGTTTTTAATTACCAAAAAAATAGCTAATATATAATACTGTGTAGTGTTTACTATATACCAGGTAGTGTTCTAAGTGCTTTAAAAATACTAATTTTTAATCTTTATACAACCCTACAAAGTAGGAATTATCTTCACTTGACAGATAAGAAAATAGAGGTAAAGAAAAGCTAAATAATTTGACCAAGGGTCACAGAGCTGAAAAAGAGCAGAGCCAGGATTCCAATCCAGCCAGTCTCTCTCCAGAATCATACTCTTGACCACAATGGTATACTATCTCCACTGTAACTACTATATCCAAAAGCCCTTAATCCTAGATCATCAAAAGAAAGGGCCTCTATTTTATACCAGGAAGAGGCATTTCTAAGAATAGAAATTTGGAAATGGTTCATTTCGTAAAGTTTTGCTTGACAATTTACAATTTAAACTGAAATTCATTATGTTAAATCTTCCTTTTGCAAAAAAGCTATACACACATACACAGGTTAAAAGGTCATTTCACATGATATAATAACTAGCGTTTTGAGTACTTTCTATTTGCCAGACACGGTTCTAAGTGCTTTACACATATTATTTCTCTTAATTCTCATAACTCTATTGAGTATGTACTATAACTACCCCAACTTAGAGATGAGGAGACTAAGGTATGGAGACGTTAAGTAACTAGCCCAGGGCCAGACAGCTAGAGCTGGCTTTTGGACACAGACTAGTCTGATTCCAGAGCCCACACACTGCACAATTTGACTCTATTAATTTGTCAAGATAAGGCATTTTTAAAAGATTGATTTTCTCATAAAGTTCTTAATGTGAACACTCAAGAAGAATAATCATTTATAATTTACTGAAGCATTTAGTATTTTTCCTTTTAACACTAAGTTAGAAGCACAGTGGGGAACATTAATTTTTAAATATACTACTATTTTGGGGGTTTTGTTAAATTTATATTATCAACATTGTTACCAAGCTCACAAACTTCAGAAAAATTTATAATGGGCAAATAGTTTCTGACCCTGGAAGTATTTAATTCTGATTTAACCTTAGAAGACCACATATCTATTGGTCTTTCAGTGGGCACATGGAAAAGAAGCTAGACATAGAATATCATGGAGAAAAGGGGTGAAATGCCTTTTAATGATACTTATTATGTATGGGATTTTGTGATAATATACAAACATGGTTAAGATAGAGCATCGGAAGCAAAAAGACATACTAATAAACAATTATAGTGACAAATAATAAGGACTATATAATCATATGTTAGCTTATACAGAATACCATGGGAATGCAGCATTGACAGCCATTAATACCACCCGAAGAAGTGGAAGAAGTCTTATCAGAGAAGGCATTTTTGGGGATGGGTCACTGTTTCCATAAAAACTAAAATAACAATTTGGGAAATGCATACTTAACTCATTAATTTTTCCTCAACTTTCATGATGAATTTACCAGTCAAAAGAGTTTGGTTTTTACCTGTAAATCTTGAAAAATCATGACAAGTTAAAATGAGCTTTTAAAAACAGGTAGATCTCATAACACTGAAAGTGCAGTTTATAATACAGCTAAATTAAATACAATTTAAAATGACTTATTAAGTTAGTTGCTCATTTCGTTGATTTCATTTAGCATTGTTCTAACTCAATGTGGAAGGTTACATTCCTACAAGTTTATACAGCTTAATAATTAACTATATTCACCTGCCAACCTTACCATTTATGTGGCAAATAGTGATACTGAGAGAGTTTAGAAGTCTAGGTCTGCTTACAGGAGAAAACTAGTTCCAAATTGCTTGCAATTGAATAATAGGATAAAAATGTACACGATTAAGCTCTTTCTTTTTATTGCTCCTCTAGTTATTTCTTCCAGAATTGATCAAGACTATTCATCATCTGATTCTGTATCTCCAGAGCCAAAATCAAAATTTGCTATGTTAGATGATGTAAAAATTTTAGCCAATGGCCTCCTTCAGTTAGGACATGGTCTTAAAGACTTTGTCCACAAGACTAAGGGCCAAATTAATGACATATTTCAAAAACTCAACATATTTGATCAGTCTTTTTATGATCTATCACTGCAAATGAATGAAATCAAAGAAGAAGAAAAGGAACTTAAAAGAACTACATCCAAACTGCAAGTCAAAAATGAAGAAGTGAAGAATATGTCACTTGAGCTCAACTCAAAACTTGAAAGCCTCCTAGAAGAAAAAAGTCTACTTCGACAAAAAGTGAAATATTTGGAGGGGCAATTAACCAAGTTCATTAAAAATCAACCTGAAAATCAGGAACACCCAGAAGTAACTTCACTACAAGTAAGTAGAATCCAGAGTGTTCATGATTATGTTTTCAATATGGATCTTTTAAAAAAATACTTTAAGACATGCTACTTGAAATACTTTATTGCATTGTTGAAATACTTTATTTTTCTCAAGAAAAAAAGCCTTCAGAAAATAAAATTTCCCATCATAATTTCAAGTTGGTTTTTATGTTTTCCTAACATTAAATATGAAAACAATTAAACTTTACATTTCAATGAAAATTACAAAGAAGTAATAAAATTTAGAACACTAAATTATTACAGTATTGCAAATTATTGGAGGCAAGTAAAAAGTTAAAGGAATCTAACTTTGAAAGTATTTTCCCATGTTTAAAATGGATAAAAGTAATACAGTAAATGGTAAAGATTCATTCCTATTAAAATACTGGGGTTTTTATTTCATTGAAGGAGTTTAAAGTTCAGGAAATCAGATTTTAGAGATGGTACATTTTAAACAAAACATAAAAACAAAAGTACTATTTGAAAGAAGCATACAAGGGAAAAATGATTGCCAATATTCATTTTCCTAATCCACTATTAGTTTAAAAAAATTAGATTGTGATAGTGTTATAGGAAATTTTAAAAAGTCTAGTTTAACAAAAAAGAAAAAAGAAAGAAAGAAACTTCTAACCAACCTACAATCTATGTCCAGACTTTTGTAGAACAGCAAGATAATAGCATCAAAGATCTTCTCCAGACCATGGAAGAACAATATAGACAATTAAACCAACAGCACAGTCAAATAAAAGAAATAGAAAATCAGGTAAGTCAACATTTAACGTATGTCCAATCTTTTACATAAAATTTACATTTATGGAAACACTGGACCCTAAAATTATTTAAAATAATTATAGTTGGATACTGAATAAAAGGATCACAGCAGCATGACTGTTAAAGACTGTAGGCTCTGAAGCTAATAAACTACCTGGGTTTGAAGCTTGGCTCGAAAACTTTGTGTGACCTTGAATAATTTCTTAAGCCCTCTGTCTCTCAGTTTCCTCACTTATTCTATGACAAAAATAACAGAACCTATCTTATAAGATTGTTGCGAGAAAAAAAGAATTAATTCATGTAAAGTATATCTTCAATATAGAAGCCAAAATAAATCTATGAAAATTTAAATTAGGTCATGTCTGTCTTTGTTCAAAACCCATCTCACTCACAGTGGCTCCTAAGACCCCAGATGACCCTTTAGTATCTCCCTGGAGTCATCTCCTCTGCTCCAGCCACACTGGCCCCTTCACTGTTACTCAAACACATAAAACATGCTGCCATCTCAGGGCTTCTGCCCTTGCTGTTTCCTCTGTCTGGAATGCTCTTCTCCCTGGTATCTACATGGCCCACTCACATTCCTTTAGGTCTTTATCAAATAGAAAATTTTCAATGACACCCTCCCAGGTCACTTAATCAAAAATTACAGTCCCCTACTTCCATCCTTGAAATCTGCTACCTCCTTCATTAATCTGTTTTTTTCCTCAATAGTTACCTCTATGTAACATAATACACATTTTTGTTATTTATCTTAGTCTGTCGCTGCTCTAGAATGTAAGCTCCATGAGCAGAGATTTCCTTCCATTATTTCTATTGAGGTAGCCCCAGAATATAGAACACTGTCAGACATAGTAGGCACTCAATAAATATACACTCAATGAATATAATTCAGTAATTAATAAAGGTAATGTCATATTCAGCACAGAGAGGTCAATAAAAACTTGCTATGATTATTATTATTTTTATTATTAGAAACTGTGTGCCTGATAATTAAATTTCAACACCCAACAATATAATTAACCTACAATGTAAAGAACTGGCTAGGTGAAGAAGAGAGATACCTTTTTAGAATAAAGGTATGTCAGAATCTAAGCATTCCAATATATAGCGCCATAGTTCAAAAATATTCATTAGTAACACTATTAAACAGCCATTCAAGAGAGTTCCAAAAATAATACAGACCCAGAGAAACCAGTAATAAAAAATAGTTCCCAAGAATTATAAAACAAATGTTATTAACAATTTCCATTAAACAAACATATCATTATGTTGCAGTAATTTTATGACTCAATTTTAGTAGGTTATTTTTGCTAGGTTATTATGAATCATAATTTGGTAGGTTATTTTTGCTAATTGTCCAAAAAGTTTTTTGCCAACTACTTCTGATTTCCATAATTTCTTTATGTTATTTTTCTAAATTATTTTTTCCTGTATCTTTTATTATGATTAAATGAACCTGCTCACAAAAGCAAGATGTCACTATTATAAGATGATATACATTCTGTCTAATAATAAAATGTATGAAGAATTCAAAACAATAAATTTTTGAGTTGGGAGAAGCCTCAGATCATCTGATCCAATTTCCTCAAATTTAAATTAAGAAACCAAAACTCTAAAAAGTTAAGTGACTTTAAGATCACACAGTTACTTAATAGGAAAGACTAATCCCCAGTAAGTGCACTTTACAACAGATCCTCATGAATTAGGTCCTAGGAAATGCCATTTATGCTGGCATCAAAAACTATCCCTAATAACACAAGATTTCACATATTCTGCTTTTCTCAGGCCATCAGTAAGAAAAGTCATCAGTCGGTAAATTGCAAACTCAGCGCATTTTAAATAAAAATAAACTGTTATTGCTAAACTAATAGACAATGAAATATTGACTATATTGAAAGTAAGCAAATAAGCCTGCCAATTTGTTCCTCTACAGATATGTTTACATGTCAAAAACTATCAAGAGGGGCTGGCCCAGTGGCATAGTGGTTAAGTTCACGTGCTCGGCTTCAGCGGCCCAGTGTTGGCAGGTTCGGATCCTGGGCGCGGACCAATGCACCCCTCATCATGCCCTGCTGTGGCGGCATCCCATATACAAAATAGAGGAAGATGGGCACAGATGTTAGCTCACCGCTCATCTTCCTCAGCAAAAAGATGAAGATTGACAGAGGTTAGCTCACAGCCAGTCTTCCTCACACACACAAAAAAACTCATCAAGAAAGCAGCCTTGTTTTTAAACTATGTGCTATGCCCTTACAGCAGGTCTGAGAATCAGTAAGACCTATAACTGAGAATTATTAAATTTAAAATCTGCCTGTGTTACTGAATAGAATATATATTCTATTCATATAAATAAACAGAACATATGAAAATATTCTAAGCAAAGTCTCTGCCTTTGGACTTGCTGTTTTTTGACCAATTTCTGTTTTTTGCCTTGCTCCCTTTCTTCCCCCATATTTATGAACTCTTTTAAATAATGTGCCTGATTAAATATTTTGAGAACAGGTAATCTGTACAATCTGTATAACATTGTTTATCCTCTTAACATCAAAAGTAATTAACATATTATGAACTAAAAAGACGCATATTAGTTGTATTTTTAATATCCTCATTCAGACTCCCCTAACTGTATATTCAGTACCATTTTTTAAAGTAAACTTATATTCTTTTATCAGTTAAGAAGAACTGGTATTCAAGAATCCACAGAAAATTCTCTTTCTTCTAAACCAAGAGCACCAAGAACTATTCCCTCTCTTCACTTGAATGAAACAAAAAACGTAGAGCACAATGGTAAGATAATACGGTGGGTTTTCTTCTTGAAGCTATTATCATCAAATTCTTCTATCTTCAACATTTCCATCAAAAATCCTTATTCTCAGGGCCTGCTCTAGACTAAAAGATAGTAAAGGGACAAATCCACCAAATAAAATGTGTCAACCTAAATTGGATCCTGGTAGGTTTTTTTCAAACCCTATAAAACACATTCTTAAGACAATAAGGGAAATATGAATATAGACTTGATATTAGATAATATAGAATTATTATTTTCTTAGATGTAATAATGGTATTGCAGTTATGTAAGAGAATAATCTCACATTTAAGAGATGCATGGTAAACTATCTAAGAGCTTAAGGGTCATGATGTTTGCAAATTACTTTCAAATAGCACAGCAAAATACATATTTGTATGTATGTGTATTTATAAAGCAAATATGGCAAAATGTTAACAATTGTTGAATACAGATGGAAAGAGTATGGTGCGCTCTTCAATGCTTCTTTCTACTTTCCTGTTTGCTTGAAATTTTTCATAAGAAAAACAAAAAGATGGAGGAACAAAGTCTCAACCCATTCCCAACCAAACTTCAACAAAATGATATACTCTCAAAACACATTTATGTTTTATGTAATTCATACAGAAAAAAAGGCTTCTGTTAGCTTCCTCCATATATGTTCACTCTTTACACATATATCTGTTGACTACCTGCTATGTACCAAGCACTATACTAATGTCTCATATGTGATATTTTATTTATATTCTTACTGTATCTAGCAAAAAAAAAGTGTTTAAAATTCTCATTTTGTTGCTTTTCTTAAAAAGAAATCAGTTTGGTAACAACTATTTTGACACTCTGCATAACATGCCATCTAATAAAAATGCTTTAGCATAAAGTCTTTTTTAGTTCTTTTTTAGTAATACATTACTGACAAAGGCTAAAGACTACATTCACCACAATTCCATAAAATGCCAAGTAAAACCTCAAGCTCTAGAGGTATCATTCTTATTACTGTATCTTATGTAATAACATTCTGTTGATTCTAGACATTCCTGCTGATTGTACCACCATTTACAACAGAGGCGAACACACAAGTGGCATCTATTCCATTAGACCCAGCAACTCGCAAGTTTTTAATGTCTACTGCGATGTCAGATCAGGTAAAACTAGCCTACGGAGAAAATGGACAAGAGTTAGCTCAGGTTACTCACTGCCTGTTAGTAAGGCTAATCCTGTTATCTCTGTTCTAAATACAGAAATAAAATTATATATATACACATATATACAACATGAGTAGTTACACAGATCTAGTACTTATATTTGTCTTGTTTATTTATGTATTTACTCACGCATTTATTCAATATTCTCCATCTTTTTCCATAAAATAATCTGAAATGACTGTCCATAAGACATTCATTAGTTGCCCTTCACTTAACTTCTTGGGACCATAATAAATAATAAAATATTATTACCATAACAACATTAATAACTACCTTATACAGATACCAATTAAAACCAAACCAAAAAAGCAGTATTTTACTACATCTGTCAGCATCAATCTACTAAAAATACACAATTTCATTCATTATATTCAGGTAGTTCATGGATATTAATTCAACGCCGAATAGACGGATCACAAAACTTCAATGAATCTTGGGAAAACTACAAATATGGTTTTGGGAGGCTTGATGGTAAGATGACTTCATACATTCATTCATTCTGACTGGGAACTAGGAATGCAATAATAAATGAGGAACAGTCCTGGCCTTCAAAGAACTTTTAACAAATAATTACACATCTGTTAGTAATTACACTTATTACAATTGTCTTTATTTGAATTATACTTATCACAATTATGGTCTGTTCTTAATTATACTTACTACAATTTAATTCAATGGCTTCTAATTATCATAACTATAATGACAATTTTGATTAAGTGCTATGTGCTTTGGTAAGTGGTAAATGCTATGAATGACTACAAAGAAAAGCATCCTTATCACTGGTAACTCGACTTTTTTATTAACATTTTAGATATCGATTATTTGGAGGTTGGAAGGGACAAGGAAGCTGTCAGATGTGCAGTACAAAATGTTTAGATTTCAATTATTTAAATATAAATGTATATTATAGAATGTGTAGTTTAAAATAGTTAATGCAAATTACTATATTTTGATCACAAAATAAAATAAAAAATAAAATAAAAATAAATAACAGAGGTTTAAAATCCAAAACGCACATTATAAAAATCCATAAATAATGTACAAATACTCATTTATAAAGTGAAAAACATTCCTCATTATATCCAATTTTTAAACAGTACTATTTGACCATTTAAAAAACTCTGTATTCAAACTGCCAGTTAAATCCCTAACTAAAAGGCATGCTCAGTGATGTTTTGTAGCTCCAAATGTTCTTCTAAGAGTGAGTGTCACCCAAAAATAAAAGACAGTGAAGTCCAGAGTACTCATTTATTTTTATAAGAAAGTAAGCCATTTGTACTTGTAATCCTTAAAATGAAGTCTCCTACTAATTCAATAGCAATAAGGAAATTTTGACATTTTTTCCTTAAATATTTTAATAAAAAGGATTGTGATAATTACAGAGAGATCTATTTGTATTTATGCTGTGCTTTTAATTCCAAATAAAAATAATTTTTAAAGTTATAAAGAAAAGTTATTAAGAATTATGCTTTTAAATTTAAAAAGTTTTTTAAATTCTATTCACTTCTCTTTCTACAAGGAAAACATATATATCAAGCAAATATCAAAGGCCAAGTCTATATTTGAAGAAAATGATATTATTATTATTATCCATGTCTCTGGGAATACCTAAATCTCTTGACAGTATATGGGTATTAATAAATAGCTGACAGTATAGCCAGCACATATAAGGACCTAGAAGTGAGATAATATCCTACCAATGAACAGACCTAAAAATATCTATAACAGCCTAAGATGTTTCACTTGTGAAATATGTCTCATAATATCCATTTCAGAAATGATAATCAGATTTTAGGCAGGCCTATTAATACTTTTAACATTGTTTGTACATATACCTATCTGCAATAAAATTGGTTTAAAAAGAAACATTTTAAGAGACTCTAAAATAACCAAGAGATTCAAGACTAAAACAACTCATTACTTGCACCAATAAAAAACATTCTCAAAAAAACTGTCAGTGCCTAATATGCAGTTAGCATCAACAGATTTTTACTTTTCTTTTCAGGAGAATTTTGGTTGGGCCTAGAGAAGATATACTCCATTGTAAAGCAATCTAATTACATTTTAAGAATTGAGCTAGAAGACTGGAAAGACAACAAGCATTATATTGAATATTCTTTTCACTTGGGAAATCATGAAACCAACTATACGCTACACCTAAGTGAGATTACTGCCACTGTCCCCAATGCACTCCCAGAACACAAAGATTTGGTGTTTTCCACTTGGGATCACAAAGCAAAAGGACAATTCAATTGTCAAGAAAGTTATTCAGGTATCCTTTTCCTAATATCAGTACTTTACTTTCATATCTTCAAAATATCTTCCCAAAGTATTAACTAATATCTACAACCACTCCCCAAATAAACATTTTCTCTATAGGTAAAAACCTCTTAACATAAGTATTCATTTTGTTCTAGTTCAACTAGGTATTTTACCTCTAATCTTTCTCAGATAGTAAATTTTTTTTGTGTGCGTGTGTGTGAGGAAGATTAGCCCTGAGCTAACATCTGTCGCCAATCCTCCTCTTTATGCTGAGGAAGACTGGCCCTGGGCTAACATCCGTGCCCATCTTCCTGCACTTTACGTGGGACGCCACCACAGCATGGCTTGGCAAGCCGCGCACTGGTGCGCGCCCAGGATCTGAACCCCGGGCCGCCAGAGCAGAGCGCGCGCACTTAACCGCTATGCCACCAGGCCAGACCCCCACCAGGCCGGCCCCTGATATTAAATTTTTGATGGTGTATATGAGGCTTCTACAGATTATTTAAAACTGGGATACATGCATACAATACTGTCATATTTATAAGAAATGAAGATATATTCATGGGGAAATATAAGAACAATGACTACGTATGAGTTTGTATCCACTAAATTCCATATCTGTCTTCTCTAGGAGGCTGGTGGTGGCACGATGTATGTGGGGAAAACAACCTAAATGGTAAATATAACAAGCCAAGATCAAAAACTAAGCCAGAGAGGAGAAGAGGAATATGCTGGAAGTCTCAAAATGGAAGATTCTACTCTATCAAATCAACCAAAATGCTGATCCATCCAAAAGATTCAGAAAGCTTTGAATGGGGGCCTGCCCAGTGGCTTAGCGGTTAAGTGTACAGGCTCCACTACTGGCGGCCCAGGGTTCGGATCCCAGGCGCGCACCGATGCACCACTTCTCCGGCCATGCTGAGGCCGAGTCCCACATACAGCAACTAGAGGGATGTGCAGCTGTGGTGTACAACTATCCACTGGGGCTTTGGGAAGAAAAAGGAGGAGGATTGGCAATAGATGTTAGCTCAGGGCCGGTCTTCCTCAGCGAAAAGAGGAGGATTGGCATGGATGTTAGCTCGGGGCTGATCGTCCTCACAAAAAAAAAAAAAAAAAAAGAAAGCAAGCTTTGAATGAACTGAGGCAAGTTAAAAAGCCAATGAAATAAATATTACACTCATCCCAAGTTACTGTGGTTTAATAATCTGGTATTAAATCCCTAATAGAAGGTTTTAGAAATAGATTCTTTATTTTAAAACCACTACCAACTTTAAACATATTGTCACATGACCTCAAAGAACACCATTTACCTTTCTCAATCAAAATTCTTATGATATCATTTATTCATATATTTTGTGATGTGGGAATCAATTTTAGATGGTCACAATCTAAATTTTAACCAATGGGTAAATTTTTAAATAACTTTTTTAAAATAAAAAACTTACAAAGCTTTTATTTTAAAAGTCATCATGTGGGCTAATTTCACAACTTCTTCAGTTTAAAAAACTAGTTGTCTTACTAAAACTCTAAACTTGAAGCCAAATGAAGTAGGGTGAAATATTGTATTGAAATAGAGTCACTGTCTTAACAATGCAGTAGACCATGATTACTAAGTCATATTGACTTTAGTATCAGGTATCACTGAACCTTAACATATTTGTTAACTTATCTATATTGCATACATTTTATATATTTTAACACTTAATACCATGAAAACAATTTTAAAGGGATCTTTTCAGAATACAATAAGAATGAACGTATTTGTAGCATCAAGTTAACGCTGAATAATTTATGCCCCCTGGACATGATACGAGTCTAATACTTATGTGTAGGTTTTCAAATAGAATTAAAAATCATAACAAGGGGCCAGCCCCATGGCCTAGTGGTTACATTTGGCACACTCAGCTTCAGTGGCCTGAGTTCATGCGTTCGAATCCTGGACACGGACCTACACCACTCGTGAGCCATGCTGTGGCAGTGAACCACGTAAAAAATAAAGGAAGACTGGCGCAGATGTTAGCTCAGGGCGAATCTTCCTCAGGAACAAAAACAATCGTAACAAGTTACTGAATGTTTAAATAGCCTGACAGACACATATGTATGCTTCCAAACTCAATAAAGACTCAGTCCCCCAATTATGGAAATTTAAATTATTGTGCTCTTTTATTGGTACCAATAGAAGTATGATTATGTTATTTCTGATTTAAATTCTAAATCCTCAAGGATTATTAGATGCAAATCCTTTGACCATAATATCACTTCTCAGTATTTATTTTTAAATAAGTTTTTAAGGAAATGACCAAAGAGAAGTAAAATTTTGAATTAAATCCCGTTTTTAAAGGATTTCGTGCCCAAGTTATATAGTGACTCATTTTAGTCAATAATTATCAGCATTATGTATTTTAAATTACCCAATATATACATCATATATACTTTTGATATATGACATATGTAGATATGTATGATCTATATGGATCCCATATAAATATCTTGTTCCAAAAAAGTACAAGAGAATAAAGGCAAGAATACATTTTAATTTTCAGAACCACAGCCAACTTGTCAAAATTGACATTTTAGAGCCAGAATGCTAATATGGCTTTTTTCCCCTAAAAAAATGGAAGCTTTCAAATGCAAAGTAATACATTAATATACCAGTTGCTTTCTCTATTTGTTTTCCAATATTTTACAATTCTCACACAGTACATTTCATTTTGTTCCTTTTAGGTATACTAAGTTTTTTCTGTATATAAAGCTCACATTGAGAGATAATTCTGGTAGAGAAAGAGAAAGGGTTTTTTTTCTTTATGGTTCTAATTTCAAAAGTGTTTGAATTTCACCACTAACTCACGATTATCAAATCTAACGGGCTTTCCTCAGTCCACATTCCCTCAGATCTCTCCACTACTTACTAATAACAATATTCTTTTTTCAAACTTGACCTTCCTTTTGCTTCCACAATACTACTACACTCTCCAAGGATTCTCCCTAACCTGAATCCATCCTGATAGCCCTATTCCTTCCTAGTATTTAGTACCGGGGGCCAAGGCACAATCTTCAATCATCTCCTCTACTCTGACCCTCAGAAATTCTATCTACCCTCATGGACTCATCTATTATCCATGAATAAGGTTCCCAAATCTACATATTCATCCCAGACCTCCCTCCAGTTCCCCTTCTTACACTGCCTACCTGCCACTTCTCCTTCTGATATCCTACGGCCTTCTCAATCCAACATATCAAATAACAATTCATCAACGCCTTCCGGTGCCTGCTGGTCCTTCCTCTCTCTCTGCAATTTCGCACTCTCCTCTTTACTTCTTACATCCACTAATGGCACTACCACGCTTCCAGTCATAGAAGCATGAAACCCGGGAGACATCCGTGGCTTTCCACTTCACTTTGTCAACCATCTCTCCTAGATCATAAGCCGCTAAATCCAACACAATCTTCTTTTGGAAAGTCTCCTAATCTTACACACTTTCTTCCCATTTCTACTGCCAAAAACCTACCAAGGACTGCCTTTAACCTGAGCCTTGAATTAACTAGTCTCCTGCCTGGCCTCCTAATTTTATGTCTATCTCCCCTCAATTGTCCTAAAACAAATTTACAATGGCCACAAACTACTTTGACCGGTGTTCTTCAAACTTGTCTATTAGAAGAGTGTTAACAGCTGAGGATAATGAAAACATATTCTTACAGGTTCTGGAGTTACAGAATGAAATGGCTTGATAGAAGCACAAATTTCTTTTAGAATCTTATTAGGTTTTTATCTTAAATCTTAGGCTTTTATCTTAAAATTGCATGTGAATTCTATTTTCTACTTCATAAATCTATCTTCATATAAAAAATTATTTCTTCCCTGAATCTTCCAAAAAGTCATGTTCCTGGAAGATGTGTCATGTTTATCCTGTGAACTTACATATCTCATATAGCTGTGCCATCACAAGAACGTGTACCCCAATTAGAAGAACATAAGCCTACAGAACAAAATCCAAATCTCTTCCAGGTATTCAAGGATTTCTATCATCTGACTCCAAATTACCTCTTTAACCATTTCCTGCCCACCACAAACCCTGAGCTCTAACCAAAATGATCCACTTTTAAACATCCCTTGTATACTTTCCTAATGCCATTCCATTTGTCTGGAATGCCTCCCCATACCTTTCTGCTTGGTTAAGTCCTATTTATACTTCAAGGTACAGATAATCTTACTTCTTCCACAAATCCTAGTAAATGGAGACTCCTTTCTCTGAAACCTAGCAGCATTACTGTCTGTACCCTTCAACTGGCACTTAGCAAGCGACAGAAAAGTAAACTTGGCAAATCATGTAATAAAAATTCTGAAAACGAGTAATAAAAACTCCAAGAGCACCAAAGATAGTCAATCTACTTGGTTTAGTGAACTACTGCAAAGTTTTTAAGCAAGACTTTACTCTGAACCAGTGTGAATTTTACTGAGAGCAAGTACACACATTTCTCATTTCAGGGGTACCTATTGTAGTATAATCTATTTACACACTCTCTGTCATTTTAGATACAAGCATGTTTTTGTGCTTGTATCATTTTTTCCTAACAGTGTAACTCATGGAAATCAATTAACTCACTCATTAACCAAAAATGTACTCATTAACAGTATTTATTGAGTACCTACTATTTGCCTCTTTTATGAACGTTTTCCAAATCTGTATGGTTACGTATTCCACCTGTTATAGGATAACCAAATTTCCTTGTGTTTTTTCCCACCACTAACGACCACAAGTGTTGCATTTATGTATGCAGGTATGTGATCATCCAACATAGCAGTTTAAAAGATTGCAAAGAAGTGACCAAATGGTTGGCCCTTTTATCAAAGTCCAAAGTGTTCTCACGGCAAATCAACAAGGGCACAATTACTCAATTGGTGTGAAATGTGAGGTTAAAGGTCATGAAAGTAGGATTAACAGTCTCCCATAGTAAGCCTTTATAAAATGAGGTTTCAATGACATTTTACAAAATATAAAGTCAAGAATTCCATCTAAAACATAAAAACTGTATTTCTAAATTCATAAGTTTAACCCAAGGAACAACCATCTATCAAAATAATTAATTATATTTGAAAGAGCAATAATCTACAACCTTAAAGATGTAAGGCTCTGTTTATCTTCAAATAAGCAACTAAGTCTCAGTTTCCATATCCCATATATGGGAATAATCATATCCTTGCCAAATCCACTTCATAGGATTGTTGTAACCATCAGTTAAGACACTGTATTTGAATGGTTTTATGAACGATAAAGTTCTAAACAAATATATCTACTTGTAAAAACTGGATCTTGGGTATCGCTCTTCACATCTCTTTAAGTAAATAATCTGTACAAATGCTTCCTAACTGAAAATACTCATTCTCAGGACAGACAGACAAAACTGCTCTCTTCACATCCTGCTACTGCTTCTGGAACTTGACTCCTTCTCCCGGAGTCGGAGACAACACTCCATAATGTCCAAACGCAGTCTCCCAACTAAAAACTCCTAGGTGGCTATGTTAAAATGTTACAAAAAAGAGCTCTCAACTCAAGAATTTTTGTAGTTAAAATAAACTAGGACCAATGAGACAGACTAAAAGCCAGAGTGATATATCTAGGGCAAAACCAAAACAGCGGAATGTGTGGCAATAGCTTGAGACATCTATGAAGACTAAAAATAAATACAAAGATCAACACTCTCCAAAGCAAGGAACCATAAACTGAAATTTGTACTTCCTTAAATTTTGAACGCATGAAACTAACCATACCAGTATTAGCAATATATGAGACTTTGTCATTAATGGAAATCACAGCTATTGCAGATATCTCAAAATATTGTTTGTGCTTGTTACTACTTAGAAAATATGGTAGTTTTTAGACCTGCAGCTAGATCTTGTTATTTAATTCATTAATTAAAAACACATATCACAACTTCAATAGTTTGATAATTATAATTCAATGTAATTGATTTCCTTTGTATTTTATTTTATGTATTTAAAAACATTATCCAAAAAGAGGATCATAGGATTCATAAGACTGCCAAAGGGTACTATGGCACAAAAAATATTAAGAACCCCCACTCCAAAGGGAGACCTACCATCATATAATGACCTAGTTTAGGAAACACAAATTACATGGCTCTCATATCATAATACAAATAGTATACATTTACTTTGACTGGCCAAGCTGTTCCTCGAAACAAAATTTTAGGGGAAAAAATTCTATCAGTAAATAAGCTTATTAAACTACTCAAGAGAAAAAACTGATACAGGGTAAAATTATAAAGCAATCATAAAACATTTAAAATGTTATTGTGGCTAATTCTTTTAAAGTCCTTATCTGTTAGAAATATATACTGAAGGATTGACAGGTGAAATGATATGACGACTAAGCTTTGTTTTAAAGTACTATAGAAAAAAATGGGACAGGTAAAAGACGAAACAAGAATGACAATGGAGGTTAATCATATTGTTCTATTTACTTGTGTGTGTGTATGTACTTTTCCATTATAAAAGTTTAAAACTATATTCAGATTAATGCACAAATAATAGGTTTACTAAGGATTATTAAGAGATGTATGGGGCATATTCCTAACTGCTAACTAAGGTCTGGATCAAAATCAACTGCATGCTTTCATTCTGTTTCTCAGACTGATTGTTACTAGTGCGAACCACTGCATTCATTCTTACATTCTCAGTAACACCATATTTGCTAGATGTAGTCTTTCAAAAAACTGGAAGAAAAATAAAGATATGCAAGTTCAATAGGTGATGACAACTAAGGCTATTATTGGGGAAAGAGGCTACCTCTA